ATTCCTGCTCCCAGCACAGCTCCCGCTCCTGCCTGACTTAAAATAACTTCCTTGATATGCATTTTGTTAGCTCTGGCAACTCTTTCCAGCACCAAAGCTCTGCAGAGCAGGAGGCCAGGGATAGAGGGAAAGCAGAAGCAAAGGGCTGCAGGCTTCAGATGGGGCTTCTCCACCAACCCCCCAGCCTGGGACAGCCTGACAGAGCAGCAATTTTCCCTCTAATTAGGTGTAAATTCAGAAAGTTCAATCCCTGCCTCAGCCACCACTTGGCATAAGGAACTCTCATGAAATCAATACTTCAGAGCTGTTTTGCACTTATTTATGGGAAGCTGCTACATTCCCCATCTTTGGCTCACCAGCCCTGTGCTAAAGGCGAGTGGGATGCGAAGCATGGGGTGAAGAAAAGAGCTTGTGCTTGCAGCTAAGAGCAAGGGGTCACCTTGTTGGCATGTCCCTTCCCCACCAAAAGCTCCCCAAAGAGATGACCTCTTCCAGAAGGACTAGAGATGGCCACTGGCCGGAGGAGCTGCAGCGCAGCGGAGCCATCGAGGCACCACGGCACAGTGTCTCACTCCCAAACGCTTTGTGCAAAGCAACTGCTTGCTCTGGGTTCGATCTCTCGGAAACAGAGGAAGCCTCTGTATTTTGTGCTGTGCTTTCATTTAGCTTCCCAAAGCCACTTCTGACTCTGAAATAAACTTCCCATGTGGCTCAGGCAGGAGTTTGTTTGCAGCACAGGAGGAGATGTCGCCGGCCGGGCTGGGCATGGGCAGCCAGCGCTGCTGCTCCCGGGCACCAGCCTTGCTGCGTTGATCCCTGCGTGCCCGGAGGCATGTCCAGGGGTGACAGCAGAGCGGTGCAAACCAAAGGAGACTGCAGACAGGTGCTCTCATTTATGGCCTGCCATTGCCACTGATTTAATACCTTGTTTGCCTTAAATCTTTCCCAACTTTGTAAAGTTGCTTTGAACAAAGCACTTAATTGTACCAGGTTTCATCCCACACCTATTTTATCTCCTTCCTTGGTGATATTGGGGCCACCACGCCAGGCTCCAGCAGCGAGATACATATCAGAGAGGGAGGTGGGGGGTGACAAGGACAGCAGGGCAAGTGGCAGGCATCCACTGCCTGCTCAGACCCGCTGAGGCCTGATCCTGGGGGGGTCAGGAAGGGAAATGGGTTTAGGCAAGGGGGTAATGTGATGGGCATCACCCAGCAAGTAACACTGTCCTGAGCAAGGGGCACCAATTAAATCAGAGGAACTGAGCTCTGGGAGCGCCTTTGTCTCCCACCTGGAATGACTTTATAGTCAGTAACCAGCTCATGTGGAAACCTTTGCATGAGATGAACAAATCCCACCCTGCTTCCCCCGGCTCTGGCCTGGGCTCTGCTGCAGCTGCCTGACAGAAACACCCGAGGGACTTGGGGACTGTCCTGCTGCTGGAACAACCGTGCCGAAACATTCGCCCCAGGACACAGCCACAATCCCACCCCGTCTGCTCACATCTCCCAGAGCAGGTTTGGGAAGTGCTGTTTGGAAACAAGGCACATAGACAGAGGGACGTGAGGGCAAGGAGGGGGTCCCCCCGCGCCTGCTCCGGGCTTGTAGAGTCTGCAGCTCCCGCGCTACCCTCGGCTCAGAGCTTCCCTCCCGCCTCTCTGGTCTCCGTTACCTCCAGCAGAAATGCTAATCAATGCATTTGCAAAACATGGAAATGACAGATAATATCACTGATGAAAGCGCTCCTGGCTCTCCTATTTCTAGCGGAACTTGAAATGTGGTTAAAAACTCCCTCTACCGCCCTGAACATTATGAATTAATTCAACTGAACCATAAGAAGTAAATATACCTCCCCCCAAAAGGTCTTTCCTTTAGTGTAAAATAAAAGTGCAATTAATATTCATAACACATACATTTAGCATTTAAATTCAACACCCCCATCAGTTACACCAAGCTCTCACTACCCATCAATATCTTTAATTACTCTTCTCTCCAGCAAGCGCTGAACCTAAGTAGATGGAAATATTTCCCTTACAATTTATACTCTGTTTTATTATGATCTGAGGGGTTTTAAATGCAAAAGAAAAAGGGAAAAAAAAAAAAAAAAGGAGCTGGTTTGTTCGTTTGTTTGTTTGTTTATAGCTCCAGATCGTTTCATTCGATGGCTCGTGGGGGCTTCTTGAGCACAGCGTTCACAGCCCCTGCTCCCCAGGGTGAGGAGTCAGGGCTGGCACCCAGCTCCCAGGCAGTGATTTATCAGAGAGGCCCTTGCTACCCCTGCAAGGATGTTTTTAGCCCCAGTTCCCACCTCCTGCCATCGCTCTCTCCTGCTCACTTGGGTCAGAGCCAGGCAGGAGACCCCAGGGCTGGCTGCAGCAGCCAGGAGCTCCTGGATGAGGAGCTTCTCCCTGGGGAAGCTCCTGGGTCTGATTTCAACGGGAAAGGTACAGCCCCAGGAAGGGAAGGAAAAGCAAAAAGGTGTCTCACCTTACTGGCTCCAGGAAGCAAGTGCAATTTGACGTATGGATCGGCCAAACCATTGTGGTCCATCGGCTTCAGGCCCTGGTGAGGAAACAGCAAAAGCAGGAGTTAGGACAACAGCGAGGTGCTGGGCAGGCAGGGTGGGTTCGCTGAGCCCCTCAACCGATGCCCGTTTCCATGGGACGTCGTCGGTTCACGCAGTAATTGCGTGGTTTCCCTGGGAAGGAGGAGAGTACAGTTCAGTGCAGGATCCAGGCTGTGCATCAAAGCCAAGCACACTCAGTGTTCAAATGTTGTCTGCGGTTTGTGCCGAGGAGGGGCTGCGGGAAGGCTTCTCATCCGCACTTGGCATCGGCCACAAAGCACCTCTCCGCTCTCCCAGCAGCTGACTCTGACACCCTGATCACAATTAATTTGGGGGTTAAGTAAATCAGCACAGTGATTTTCAAGGTTTAAAATTACAGGGTTTTGTCATTTAATAATTGCTTATGAGCAAACATACACCTCTGCTGTTGTGGTGTTACTTTTAAGCGCTCTCAGAGGGTGTGATAGCACCTACCTACTCTTCATTATTAAGGCACAGCTGAAGGAAGAACAGCTTTCAGGCCAGCGGGAAGCTGGCGCCAGCCGACTGCCACAGCGTTTGCAGGGAAATCTGGGGGTACCAAAGCACAAATGCAAGGAAACACTCGTTGTGGCCATTCCTGATGGATTTTCTACTAGACCCTCACAGCTCTTAAAGGATGACGTGGATCATGTTTGTTACAGAGATGCTCTGGAGTTGATCCTGCTTCAGGCAGAGGGAGGAGGCAAACCTGCTCTTCTTCTAAACAACCAGCGGGCTGAAAATTATCCAAGGGTGAAGCACAAACCCAGCCCAAAGCCATAACTGCGCAGGCCACGTGGAAACAAACTCCACAGGGTGGGAAACAACACAGGAGCATGGAAAATGGAGCCTAATTTTTACTGATCCCTAGCAGAAATTATAAAGGCTACACCATGAAAGTACCTGGATTATTTCCAGCCTGGCTGCAAGAGCCCTGCGGGAGTTACTTCCAGGCTGTCTGAAGGCAATCATCTGCCTGGATCAGAGGAGGGTTTCTCTGCTAAGGTACCCATCCAACCCGGGCATGGAAACCAGGCTGGGTGATGCTAAAAACGCATCACACCCCTTCTGTGATGAGCAGAGTATTCGGTGCCTGGGATTAATGAGTGTGTGCAGCTGCCAGAGATCCACCTGGCAGGAAAGCATTCGTATGGACTGCTGGTGAAAAGGCTGCATGCGATGAAAACGTAATCATCAAGGCCTGGTTTAGGCATGTAAAAGAGGGAAATGCTGGGGTAAATCACTTCCATACTTTACATGTATGAAATAACACATCCATCTTAGCCAAGGCAGCCCCTCGGGACGCCCCCATCCCACCCCTCCCTGATATGCACAACTCGGTCGAGGGTCTGAGCCGCTCCTGACCTTGGTGAGGGCTCTGCTTCCGAGACAAGCATGCTGCCCCGGGGCAAGGGAGACCAAATGGTGCCCAGCAAAGAGGATTTTGCTTCTAAAGCAGAGCCAAAAGGATAAAAATATCAGCAGTGAATGGAGGCTAAACAGCTCTGCTTTAACTGCAGTGCCTCTCGGGTGATGTCCCTGGCCCAGCAGAAGAGGAAGGCAGCAGACACAGAAGACGGGAGGAAGATGATGGTTTTGGTACAGTTCCATGGGCAGCAAGGGGCTGGGCTGGTCCCCAGGCTCTGGAGGGGATCCGGCTGGCTGGGCACTGAAACTGCTCACAGCTGAGCAAAGCAAAGGCTCCCCACCACCTAACCTGGTGCCCCACCTGCCCGATGCTGCATGGCAAACAAAATCAGAAGCAAGCAAGCAAATTCCCCTGAAAATGGATGGAAAAGCTCTGTAATTCACCCATCAATTCAGTTCAATTAAATTACTTTTTGAGGAGGCTATTAAAGGCTTTTTTAACAGATGTGCTATGGAAGACAGAGTAACAGGGGCCTGGAAAATGGCTCCTAACGTCACATCTACCTCCCTCCCATGTGACTCAATGCAAGTTTGGCACAGGGCTGAGTTTAATATGAGAGAAGCCCTAATGGCTCTGCTCCACCAAGCTGCTCCCACAGGAACTCACCCCTCCCAGGGACCCACAGGGAGGGCAGCAGCATTGCTTCCCCTGCATGGAGGGACCTCCAGCCTAAAGCTGCTCCGAGAGAGCCAAGAGGCAGAGCAGGACCACAGAGCTCGTTCGCAGGAGCAGAGTCTCCCATTGGCTTCAGGCAGCGCAGCTTCGGTTCCAACCAGTCTTCCTGCTGGGACCAATTTACAGCACTGTGCAACATGGCACAGGCGACGGAGCCGAGACAGAGTTTCATCTTTTCCCTTCCTCTACCCAACCCCAAAATCCCTGCTATAATCCTATTGAGACCGATGTCCCCACCGCATCCCAGACGCTGCCAGATGCTCTCTGTGCCAGTGACATTTAACTAATCAATAGGATTTAATTACAAGTTGGGCTAATCGGGCTGCCGATTAACACCACACTAGAGGCATACAGAAATCACAGGAGACAGATTCGTTCCATCATTTGCCCCACGGTGAGCTGCCTGCCCAGTGAGCAGGCTTCCTGCTGCCCAAAAATCAGCCTGGACACCTCTTCCTGGGCCAAGACATCCCATTCTGAAATGGGGCAAACCTCCACCCTAACAGCCCAGAGGAGACACAGCTTCAAAATGGGAATTTCCCTGCAGTGATAAATATTTATGAGTAAATCCATAAGTAATGCTCAGTGCAGACCTCCAGCAATTGGCTTCAGCTGGAAGCAAGAGAGCATCCAAATGCTCGGCAGGGTGGAAACTCCCGGGTGTTTTCTAGCTGCAGCTGCAGCCAGCGGTGCAGGGGGGGCAGCCCAGGTACGCTCGGATGGGCAGCGTCTGCCCTGCGTGGCCTGCCTGGGGCCAGGGAGCTGCCTGCACCGCTGCCTGCGCAGCCACCTGAGGCTCGCCCAGGGAAATCTTCCTCCTGAAAGCAGACCAATGGAACTACAGGATAGCACAGCCCTCACAAGCCCTATAGATTCCCCTATAGCAAGATATTACCTCACTCCATGCAGTAGGTTGGGCTTTGTAGGACTGAGAAGAAAATGAGACCCTCACCCGAGCCATGGTGTCACACGCCAAGGCACAGACCCTGGCGCCTGCACGTCAATCGTATCATTTTCTATCACATTTTGTAGGAGGGGGTGATGCCCAGCACAGCCCAGGGGGAGCCCATCCGTTTCCCACACGTGTTGGTACCAACATAACCCCGGGAGAGCACACAGTGCTCGTGCACGGCAGCAGGCGGCAAGGGGAGAGCTCTCCTGCCAGCCTGCCACACGGCTGCTCCCGCAGTCCAGAAACGGGCTCCCACATGGCCCTGATTTATTCTCCCATCGATCCGAGCTGAGCCACAACGTGCCTGAATTCAGCTGCGCCTGAAGCGTGAAAGGCAGGGTATGGGCAGGGCTGCTGCCAAGACTGAAAGCCATTAGCACAAGGCGGCCACTGGCTGCCTGCCCGCTCCTGCCTGCACAGGGCCCTGAGCTTGCTGGCAGCCAGGGACAGGTGGCAGGAACACTGGGCACGCCACCGCAGCCCTGCTCCAGCCAGGGAGCAATGGGGTTTCTCAGTCCTTATCTCCCTGGTGCCCTGATATCCCAGGATAGCCTCTGCTGTGGTCCCATGGTGCAGCACCGGCAAGCCTTGTTGCCGCAGCAGTTGCCCAGGGCTCACACCAGCATGGCAGAGGTGACAACCTGCTGCCGGTGCAGGCGGCGTGGGGAGAGCCGCAGAGGCTGCCCCACCTGCTGAGACTGTATCCCAACTGCACCTGCTGAAGGCAACACCAAAGCGTAGGATTGTCCTAAGAGGTTAAGGCTGGAGGTGGATGCTCCTTGAGCGTGTTGTGGTCTTCCCTCACCCTACAGAGGCAGGACTCGCCTCACAATCCAGATGTGGACTAACAGCAGCGCCACACTCAACCTGTTCATCTCTAGGAGGAACCAGGTCCCTCGCTTCCCTGGCTAGAGCCTGCAGAGATGCCAGCCACTCACCTTAAAAATCAGCTTGCAGATATCCATCTGTTGGCACAAAGTGCCTGATGGCAGGCTATGTGTTATTAGGGAAACTGAGGCACAAAGCACCTCGCTCCTGGTGTAAGCAGAGAGCTGGGACACAGGCCCACAGCTGCAAGCTTCCACACGAGCACCTCCTGCAACAGAGCAAACCTCCTTTCATTCCCTATTCCAGCTTCATCCAAACCTGGGATATGGATTTGACCTGAAGGTCTGGAAACCCCCAGCGTCTCACAGATCCCGCAGTGAACGTGCACCAAGGAACACCTCAGATGTCCCCAGGCTGAGGGCACCAGGGCAAACCCCCCCTGGCACGGAGCGGTTATCCCGACCTCCTGCACAATAGCGTGGCTGATGGCTGCAGAGCAGAAAATTGGTGGCAGAGCACGACTGATTGGATTTAGCCCACTGCTGGTGCCTCCAAGAGCCCACCAACCCCCTTCCCACTCCCCAGGAGCTGATAATGGGACTCAGGAGGGGCCATCAGCAGATACAAAAGTGCTGGAGATTAAAATAAATAGAGAGAAGCAAAAAGATCAAAAGGGAGAGAATTGTTTGTGGGGGTTATCAAAGGGAGAAAGAAAAACACTTCTCACATGGCTGAAACAGTCCAGGTTTTAAAGGCTGCTGGCAGCGACTGAGGCTCCAGGAGCTGCTGGAGGTGGGACACGTCCTGATGGCACCTTCCTCGGGGGTCTGAGACATCATACCCAAGACACCAGCCAGACCAGATCCAAGGGCAATGCCTGTCCCGGCACTGTGCTACGGCTCGTGTGCATGGCCCTGGCGCTCACATCACCTCCTCTACAGCACTACTTCTAACGTCTACGCAGCCGACGCCAGCTCCCATTGACGGCAGCCGGGGTCCTGGCCCTTACCTTTTTGTAGTCAAGTTTTGGCATCTTTCCCCAGGCGAGAGATGAAATGAGAGCGAGCAGATGGCAATGTAAATAAAAGAGAAAAATGGGAGAATGAGAGCAGAATGGAAATGAACAGGACTCGAACGCTTGAATGTCAGAGCGGTGAAGGGGGGTCTGCCCACTCTGTGAGCAGGGGCGATGCCGGCACCGCGTGGTGCCCCCAGCCCTGTGGGATGGGGTCAACAACCGCTATTCCCGTACAGCTGGGCGGGCACGGCAGGAACCAGTGCTCTCCTTTGTCAGCCCTGCCTTTGCTCTTGCTGCTGTTAGATCTATCACTTGCCGCTTGCAGGTCTCCTTCCTCCCTGTCTTCCACCCACTGCAAACCCAATTAGAAATCTCCTCCTTGGCACCACTCCCAAGCACACTGAGGGAAACCTGACCCAGAGGCTGCTGGTAAATTCATGGGCGACAAGCAGGGAGGTGGCAGGGAGGGAAGAAAAACCCACCGGCTGCCTTGTCCCTGCCCCTGCAGCCCTGCGCAGGGAGCTGTGGGTGCTACACTCGTCCCCCAGCCAGAAGCAGCTCCAGGTCTACCAGGGCAGATGCCTCCACACTCACCCTAAAGCCAAGCTTTCACACCCAAGGTCTTATTTCAGACAAGGAGAGCCCTGGGGCAGGGACCTGCAGGCTCAGCACCCAGCTCAGCACCTAGTGCAGCGGGCTTTGGGGTGGGCTGGGGGCTGCAAATAAACCAGTTGCAGCTGGAGGGCAGAGGAGCATCCTATGAAGACAAATCTTCTGGGGGGTAAGCTCACAGCTCGTTCTCCTGTGGTTTCTCCCATCTTCTGTAAAAACCCTTCACCCCCTTCCCAAAAATCTAAAGAGACTTAGGTGTTCTTCCACTAACCCACCACTGTCAGGGACCAGCTGTGTTGACCTGGAGCCCCCCCTGCTCTGGACCTCACACTGGGTGAAGTAGAGAGGAGCCGAGCAGCACCCAGAAGCACCTTCCACAGGCCCGGAGGCAGAATCAGGACCTCAGTTATCTGTTTCTGCTCCAAAATGTGCAAAAAACTCCTAATTGCTTCGATCACGCAGACGGCAAAGGCGCTGAGGCAGAGCACTTTGTGGCAATGATTAGCAGCATTTAAAAGAGCCATTTATAAACTGACAGCCGGTCACAGCATCAAGTAAATAACAACATCGGGTTGGGTGCTTTTCTAAAAAGCATCAATAGCTGCAGCCATCTCCTCATGGGGATGAGCAGCCATCTCCATCCCACTCAAAACGCCCTGAAAGGCAGGGATGGAGGGGAAGGAAAGGGCAGAAGCACTGGGTGTTGGGATGAAACTGGAGATGGCAAAGGGATGGCTGCAGTCTGGGACACGAGAGCCCCCAGCACAACCCAGGGACAGGGGGACACTCGGCTATCCCCAGGCGCTGCCCTCACTGCTGCATTTGCTTGGGCCAGCTGCAGTGCCCGGGTGGCCTCGTGTTTTTGGCAGAGCTCTGGTGGCCCCATAACACAGGACAAAGGTGGCCAGCTCTAGGCGTATTCAGTCCTCACTGCTCACACGCCCGGCGCTGAGACGTACCTTGGCTTTATTGATCGTGCAGTGGAGAGCGTTGTTTTCTTGATCATAGAGCAAGCTGAAATCCAGCGTCCCCAGCGTGGCTGCAAAAGAGAAAAGATGTTATTAACCAACCCATGGGAACCAGCAAATATTGCCTCTTCTCCCTCTAAGCACAAAAGGAGTGGATGAAGATGCTAGAGAAATGGCTGCAGACAATCTAAAACGTAAAGCATCCTCCTGTGAGCTGTTATGAAACATGGCTTCATGCTGGGAGGCTGGTGTCTATCCCCATGTTTGGCTGGTGGGGCTGGCACAGCCCTGGGAGAGAAGCGAGAGGGATGAATGGCTGCGGCTCGCCTGGGCACTGTGGCCAGCGCAGAGGGTTTGCCTCTGTGGGCTTTCACATGGGTTGCCCCCATCTACCAGCAGCCCCACTGCAGCCAGCAGCTTCCCGTCCCCCAGGAGCTTATCTGGGAAGACCTGGGCATGGCTGGGACACAGCCGAGACCCGCTGTCAGCACATCTCCCCTCTCCAGTGCTGCTGGCATTCCCAGAATGCGTATTTGTATACTGACACCTTCAAACAAATGAGCCACCAATGGGATCCCTTCCCAGCTCCAATTTGGCTGCAAACTGTAAATTAAACCCAGTGAGAATGGAAATACTTTTATGGTTAAAATGAAAAACACCAACAGCTTTTAATCAGAGCAGCGTTCCCTTATGGCATCCGCAACCCAGTAACAGCAGCAACAGGGAAGCTCCTGAGATGGGACCACAGGGCAGGGGCAGGAGACCGGAACAAACCAGAAGAGCCTCAGCAGCAAAAGTACATTTGATTTGAGAAATTCTTTCCCTTTGGACAATCTGAGCATGCCATGCTAATGCAAAGCAGAGGAAAAGCCTTAAAAAGACAGGCTTTCCCAAAACTGGATTTAACCTTCTCCAAGGCTCCCAGACCCCATTGACACACCAAAGCCCGGACATGGAGCAGCATCTCCCCAACACAGCTTTGTCTACCACCAGCCTTGAACTTCCAGGGCAGCTCTGGATCCTGCAGCCCGCACCTTTCCATGCCCACCTTCCCAAAAGGGGTCTGCCCAAGCACTGCCCTGCCACCACGCAGCATCCCACCACTGTTTCCAAGGTAACTGCACCTTCCCACCACAGACGCAGGTTCAGAGCAGGGGGAAAAAAAAAAAAATCCCAAATGAAAACCAGAACAACTTTGCTTAATATCAAAGCAGGGTTTGCTGCCTGGGAGGTAAGTTAGACGAACTTTATGGCAGGAAACAAGGTGCTTTTTTCCAGCGCAAATAGCCTCTGCAGCAAGGCACCCCAGGAGGCAGCGGATATTCAGGGGACTGAAACCTTCCTGCTCCAATTTCACAGCAAGCTTCTAGCCCAAACGCAACTGAGCTACAGGTTTGCCTGCTAGCAAATAAAAATCATTGCTCCGGAGCAAATACCTCGCCTTCAAAGCAGAACAAATATTCAGAGAGATTTCTGGCAGAATAATGCACCCCCCCTTGTTCTGGAGTAATTTCATGGCACATTAGCTGTTGGTTTAGGTAAGTCGCAAATCAGTGGGATTTACCTGCCGGGGCTCAGGGAAGATGGAAGTGATACAGGGTGAGGCCAAACCTGCACCACCTTGTGTGCCATGCCTGGCTTTGGCCCAAATGGGTGCTTCCAGAGCAATAACCGGCCAAACTCGCTCCACGTCGTCCAAGGAAGAGGAAAGCGGAGCAATGCCCCAGCACACCGGTGGCTGGTTGCCCCCTGACCGTGCCTGGCGATGGGGAGCTCACGGCTCACAGCCTGGGGGCCGGTGCAGCCCGCTGTGCTGGGGCGGGTGTAGTGGGAGGCTCCACAGCACACGGGCAAAAGCCCAGTCAGCAAAATTCGACAAATCTGCATTTTTCATTTGAGAGCGGAAGATGAAGCCTCCGGTTTCGGAGCCTCATCATTTCCACCTGCCCTTTAATCAGGCGCTTCCTGCCAGCCCCGCCGCTCGGCCCTCCCAAGTTCAAGCTGTTATTTTATTTTTATCACAGAAGGGGGCCTGTGGCTTAGCCTGCTGGATTTGGCAATGTATAAAACAAATTAAAAGCTTGGCATGAAAACAGACTTCGGCCAGGAAATACTGACAAAGCCTCCTGTCCCCTCAGTGATGCAACCTGCCCCAGGGGTGAGGGCAGCAGGGAGCCCCGCTCTGGCAAGACAAGCAAAACCCAAAAGCACCGTCACGCAGCAGCAGAAACTTGTTTTGCAATTGGGGACTAAGGTCCTGCTCCCCAGCGCCGGTGGTCCATGAGCAAACCTTGAGCAGTTCCCGCCCATCTCGGAGCTACAAGCAGGCAGGAGGGCACGGACAGGGCTGCCTGGCTCCCCCCAGCCCTGCCAGGCTCCGTCCCCAGCTCTCCTCCAGCCCTAGAGGGGTTTTCCTCTACACAGGGATTTTTTTCATTGGTGGTGAGTCTCGATTCCCAAGGAAGGGTCTGCCTTCGGCAGAGCGATGTGGAAACATCAGCAGAACATGTTGTGCTAATTGCTTAAAAATGCGGCCATATGGAGATGACAAAAGGGATCAGGCTAACTTGGGGTTTGGCAGCTAAGGCGCTGCTATGGAGCCGAGGGCAAATGCTGCCGCCAGAGCCAGGACCCAGGACCCAGGACCCAGCACCCAGCGTCTTACCGGATGCTTGAGGACACATCTCCCGCAGGAGCGGAGCGGCTGCAGCGTGGTCTCAGCCACGCTCTCTCCGTTACCTCTTGGGGATGTGCTGCCAGGCAATGGATCCAGCCCAGCGGTGAAGGCAGAGACAAGGCTGGTGTTCAAGCTGCCTGCATCTCCAGCCAGCCGCTCCCAGGTAGGCTGGCCCCAGGGTTGGTCGGTGGCCTGAGGAGATGGCAGGAGACCTCCAACTGAATCCACCCTGCAGCCCACAACAGCTCTGTGCAAAACCCCACAGGACCGCAGCCCAGCTGGAAAGCCAGCCCTGCACTCCCAGAGCGGGTACCATGCCGAGCAAGCGGCCAGGCAAGCCAACACCAAAACACCAGCACAGGTCTTACTGCTCTCACCCCTCCTGCAAAACTGCCAGCAGCACATCCAGCCCCAGCTGTGGGAGACCCTCCATCTCCAGCCAACAGGATTGGGCCCAAAGCAAAGCCTCCGGGCTGCAGCAGCCACCCAGGGATAAATCCTGCTCCAAACAGGGACCTCCGCAAAGCAGCCGAATCGCCCTTTTTTGATTGCCTTCCTCCTCCCACCCATCCTCACAGCTGAGATACAACTCAATTGTGCTCTTAATTAGGGGAGCGAGTGCCTAAAAAAGAAAAGGGCAGCAATTAGACTCGAAGCGCTGTTACTAGACGTATTTAACTCGACTAGGCTATTCTGAACACTGCCCTCTAATCACACAGGCTGCAAATAAAAAAATATAAATAAATGTCTTTGTCAGGCACTACAAAGGCAGCTTTGCGGTCTCCAGACAGCAGGCAGGATGTATCATTATTATTACGATTATTCTGCTCCAATGATAAAATAACCATTAGGAGAGCCGAACTCATTAGCAGGTTCTGACCCTCTTTCCTCTCCATGAATTGGGAGAGATTGATGGGAAGGCGCTGGCCAGGGTCTGGCATTTAACACGGGCTCTAAAAAAGAAAATAAATCTGACTTGCACAGGAATGTGGCCTCTTCTCCCACTGACCTTTGGGCATTTTGATTAATTCAGTGGGCCACAAAATTATTGGAGGCTAGCATAACTGGCAGACGCATCTCCGGGCTTAGCCATGGGATACGGCGAGCGTGCCTGGAGCCCGTGGGCAGCACGGCATCCTGGCACATCCCCACTCCTGCCCTTGTTGGTGGAGTCGGCAGAAATTGTTTATTGCTTACATTTCCCATCAGCGCCCAGGGTGACGGGGAGGCTGAAGTAGCTTCTATTTATACCTGCGGGATGAAAGGCAAAATGTGGTGATAAATCTGTGCTCTGCTCCCTTATCCAGCCCCTGTCCTTGCAGGCTACGTGCCCTTGCCTGGCCCACGCAGGGCAGCAGATCCGCCCCCTTGGTGGCCTAGGACACCCCAAGGAGAGGAGTTTCTCAGCCCAAGAGATACTCAAGACATGGAAGAGGCATCAACACTTGCAGCATGGACCCACGAGCTTCGGCACAGCCCACAGAGGAGGGAACTGATGACTGAGTGGGCTCCCTACCTTCCAAAGTCAGGCAAGCTTTTGCATTGTGACTGCCATTAGAAAACCCAGCAAGGCTCTACGCTGGGAGAAACTGAGGTGTGCACAACCCCCCCCCACTACAGAACTAATTAAAAAGAAGTCTAAAAGCATTAAGACCCTCTGCTTATCAGCATTGCTGCTCCCAAGATAACCTGCTCACGGATTTTGTGCCAGGGAGATCAGAGCAGAGCAGTAAAAAGACTGCTGGGGATTGTCTGGATTAGCTCTCCCTTACAGAAAGCACAGGTTCAGTAACCTTCAGACTGGGTATTTTTTAATGCACTATAAAAGATAGGTCCCTATTCTTCCATTGCTTTAATTTTCCTCGGCAATGGAGATAATTTTTAAGGTCCTGAAAGGCAGCAAGTAATTCTGCGCACTTACAGCCCCATGTAAAATGTCGGTAAATGACTTCTCAGAAGGAACAGAAATTATTTCTTGCCGTTTCCAAGCAGGGCTGCTGAAGATCGCTTTGGCAGGTCGCTGTGTGTGCTCCTGTCTCCGCGGATGTGGCAGCGCCTCGTCCTGGCCCACCGGCACACAGCAGAGCAGTGCGGGCAGTGAGCGCCGGGGCACCTCAAGGACCAAATCCTTGCCCCACATGGGAGCGAGCCCCTGAAAGCCCCCAGGGTTACTGCTAGAAAACAGCACCATCAGTCCCAGCAGCCTCCCACAGCCGGGGCCAAGCTTGCTTAGCACTCACAGCGCTCCTGGTCCGTGCATAGACCCTCTTGGGCTGCTGCTTGTGACTCACGCGCCTCTGTGGGGAGAGGGCGTATGGCTTGTCAAGGATGGATCCCACAAGGTGCTGAGTCAAGGCGCTGCAGACCCTGATGGCTGCGAGCCCCCAGGTCTGA